TCCTATTAACCACCCCAGTGCACTATTTTGCAGTCTCCCTAAAGATGGAGGAAATACTGAGAAGCATAGTAAGTGTTTAATGTAATCAGACCTAGTGGAAGGAAGCTTACCACAGACAGGATTTCTTCAGCATATAAATGGACTAAAAAACATGTTTTGGAATGGAGACATCTATTTGACTTTATTTTATGATGCGAAGTTGTCCATACCTGATTAGTTAGAGGTAGAAAGACATTCATTCTGATTGTCTTCAAGGAACACAAACACAGTTTCTTTGTCTGCTCAACTATACTCTGCAGTCTGTCCCAAAAAAATCAAATTGTACTTCTCTGTTCATTCTAGCTATACATTCATTATTGTGCTCTGCTTCCTGATAGTTATCACATTTTACATAAAGATGACTAGTATCAAAAAAAAGATAAATCATAGAAATGCACCTTTTGACCAGTAAAATTCTACTGAACAATCTCATCATATTTCAGTAGAATTTGTCTTTAAATTTCATAGTCTTTTAATGTGAATGAAAACAGTAACTTATGGACTACAAAGTTTTCCATTTACCCTGACCTGATAGGAAAAAATATCATAATTTCTGAGTAGAGAAAATGAGATGCAAATGCTTTCTTCACTGCTGTAATACTTCATTTTTAAAAGTAAACACAGTACCAGTCATCATTGTGATTCCAGTGAATAAAAACTTAAAACGTAATTTATTAATCAATTTGGGAGTCTGAAGCCAAAATAGTAGACAAGTCAACCTTAAAAAGGCAATGACAATGCACAAGTTTGATTAAACTAAAGTGGCTCTCTGTTACCATAGTACCAGTCTTTTTGTCGGGTTTCAATCTGCCATAACAGCAAAGGTTAGGATTACATGTACACAGAAGTAGGCAAGGCGTGATGAAACTGAATATGGAGGGTTAAGCGTCTTAAAACTCTAGGTTATAGTTCTTGTTGCAACAGAAGTTCTACTGAATAATTTACAATAGTCTAAAACTTTTCAGCAACGAAATTGTATTGATAACATACCATTATCCCTGTATGTTACATTACCTGGAGACATCACAACCACTTAAGCCCTGTATTCATTTAGAAAAGAGCAACTTTTCCCTGAAAAACCCTGAAGCATGATCATACTTCAACCAAAGCTGTCCTGAACTAACTTATAAGCAGCAGTGACTACATTTCATCACTTCTTTAACAGGAATAAAAATAGAGACAACACTTTTTTGAAAAGAGGCTACAGAACCTGTGTCCAATTAGTGACGAAATGGACTTTTTAACAGCCACTGGACTTCTACCATGATACAGGTGAAAGAGCTGAGGAACAAACTGCCAAACTTGCCCAAAATACTTTGTTCCATAGGATTTGATCCCTTCTGAGTCAACAATTTACCTATGAAGAAGTCAGTCCTTATAAATGAAAACAAACATAAGAAACCTACGGGAGGTTTAAAAGGAACTTCATTTGCTCTTAAATATTCAAGTGTAATGCTTCTATAAACGATTAAAACGTTTCAGCTTTATCAGATATGCCCATCCCCGTCTGCTCCTAACCTGCCCCTAGCACTCAGGTTCCCCGGGCTGTCCAAGAGCCCAGCTGACGGCGGAGAGAGAGAGGGAGGTGGCGGCGGAAGACGAGCATGGACACCACGGCACTCACCCGACAGTATGAGGCCCGTCTCTGCGTCCCTGAAGTAAGAATGGCCACTTTCTCCGAGTAAGTTGCTCTATACTAAAGCAGCATCATCTGTAAAAAGAGTTACTCCACATCCATAACATCTCACCGCTATACTTACCAATTCAAAAGTTAGAGGAAAAAAAAACATACAGACTAAATCCATGTACCCGTGATCCTTTGTATCCTAAAAATGTAGACATATTCTTAGTTTTAACCAAGAATTATATTGGAATGAACTAAAACAGCTTTTAAAGTAATTTTAAGTATACTCTTATTTGTTACTACATTTTACATAGATTATTCAGTATTGCTTGTGGACATAATTTAATCGATAATATATCATAACGTCAACCACTGCAGTGATCCAGAATGAGATTCTGGCTATAGAGAGAGCTTAATTATTAAGCAACATCTTCCTAAAAAGCTTCTGTATTTCTGATCGGTAAGAAGAACAAACAAAAAAAGAGCATCTCTCATTAAAATAACACTGAAGTTCAAGCTCGGGCCCCCTTCTTTGCATTCAACATAATTAACTCTCCAGGACAAAATAATGAAACATTAAGTCACATTAACAAGTTACAGTCATCTTCAAGAAAATTCGATGGGCGACTCTGGTGGTACAATTGTGTATCGTGGATCCAACCTAGGGGTGAAGTCCTGAAAGTGTTTAGATGCACTAGTACCAAAAACATCAAGGGCTTTCCGGTTCATGACAGCAAATCTGTAAAACACAGGACACAGTGAGCAAATACTTAATGAAGTTTATAAAATAAGATGGTTCACTCTATTTGACTTCTCTTTCATGGGACAGGGAGACAGAAAAGGCTGACGTGGCAAAAGACTCCAAGGCAGATTCAGAAGTCACTTTGATATTCTTCCTCAAGATTCACTGTCTCATATTTTCTTTAGAGATGATAATCCCCAAACCTGGAACCCCAGAAATTATCATCATGTCAAGCCCTTCAAGAGTTCTTTCCATGAATGTCAAATAGAAAAATAGGTTCATTGTGATTTTTCTGATGAATAAAATCACAGAAAACTACATAAACAATGAGTGAGCTAATAATTCACCAATGAGGCAAAGGTATTAAATGTAGCTTCTCTCAAAATTTTAACGTCTCAGAAAACACATCCAAATATACAAATATTTAATGACTGAATTGAAAACAACATATTAGGTTTTCAAATTTCTAAGAGACAAAAAATTTTCAAAACACACATATTTAGCTATGTGCAAGATGGACTTTGTGTGTCTCTGTGCCTGACTGTATCTTCTCTGGAGAACATATCAGGGAGACATTAGTTTTGAGTCATTGGCCAGAATCAAGATTCCAAGAGCCAATAAGTAAGATTTTTTGTTCCTTTCCAAAGTCAATTCCCGTTCAAAATCAACTGGTTAAACTCAGTGGTGTCCAAAAAAATCTAAAGGACAAAGTGATAAATGATTCAGTAATAATATAAAGGCTACACCGTGTCCTGGCTAAGGGGAAGAATTCTGAAGCCAGGCTGCCTGGGTCACAACTTACCAGCTCTGTGACTCTGGCAGGCGCTCTAACCTCTCTGTGAAGCTCAGTTTCCTCACATGTAAAACCAGGATATTAATAGTACCTATCTGATAGAGCTATTTTAAGGATTAAATACATACGTATCTATAGGTGTGTATCTTAAAACCATTTCTGGGACGTAATAGCAAACCATTGTATGGTGCTTACTATAATTAATAACAGTAATACTAATGGCATAATACTGAGTGCCTGCTAGGTGCTGCTACAAACATCACGATTTTTCCACAGCCATACAAAGTATGTATTACTGTTTCACCATAGAGAAAGAAAGTTGAGGCGCAGGAGGGTGAACAACTTTCCCAACCACTGACACAGCTAAAGGTACTGAGTGGGAGTCAAACCTATGTCTGTTCAACTCCGAAGCTCATGGTCTTTCTGTTAGGTCAAGCTGCCTCCCAAAGAATTAGATTAAAATCAGGAAGTGCTAACAACACAATAAAGAGCATGACAATAAAAGCAAAGGAAAACACGCTTGCAAAACCAGGCAAAAATACTCAAAATCTTTTTTATGGAAATTGCTTTTTTTTCTATGACCAATTAAAACATGTCAGTCGCTTACCTGCCCTTGGTGAGCCTTAAAAGGAACTTCCAGTAAGACGGTCGCAAGTTCTGAACTTCCATGATAGCCTAAGATTAGAATAGGCAGTCTGAGCCTTCTTTTAGTAGACAGCAAATATTATCAGCAGTCTTAGGCAACAGAATTAAATTTTTATTGGCCATTGTATGTTAAAAAAACAAGTGATGACAGTAATAACAAGAACGTATTTATGTTTAAGCTGACGACTATCAAGAGTCTTTGTAAATATGCCTTCAAATAAGAATATTGCTCCTGAAATAATAACTGAGTTACACTAGTCATTAGGAAGCATTTACTAAATACCCATTAAATATCTGGCACTTCACTAGTTACAATAAGTTCACCAACTTGACAACATTACTGTCAGAAACTGCAAATAAAAGCTGTCCCCACAATTCTGCAACAGCCCTAAAACCATGAGTATCAATAATGCTGATTACAGAACTTAAAGAGATTGAACGATGCTTCTATTAAACAGGGTTCTGCCCCTGTCCTCACTGCTAGAGTGATACTGGGGAAATGCAAATATTATTTATGTTCACGGTATCTTTTTTCCAGAAGTACAATTAGGGCATTCTAGCCAAGGTACTAGAGTGATAACTTACCTATAAATGTTGTACTATTTAAAGCTAAGAACTGTTGTATTCATAAAACATGATCTGGCCCATAAAGTTAACATGTTTAATGATTTGAAACTTGCAAGCTACCTTGCTGGAAAAAAAACAACCAAAAAAGCACAAAATGTAATAAATTGAAACGTTCCCAGGCCTTTACTTTTCCCCCAGTGGTTTAATGTGCAGTAGAAACAGAATTACTTCTATTTCTCATTTCAGAAGGCTGTACTTACTGCCTGGAAGCAAATTGCCGTGGAGATGGTATAGATGATAGTGTCTGCATGGGGAAAATAGGGAACCTTTCCTGCTTCAATGCCTTTGAAATACATTGTCTACAAAACAAGCATAGTGCAAGATTTAGAAAGACAACAACTTTAAATCACATCAACAGTAAGGTGGAGCAATATGCTCCCTACCTACAACTATTTTTTCTACCTTTCAAAATCCTAACAATCCTTTCAGAGCTCAAATCATAGGTCGCTTCTTTCATGATGGCGTTAAGTGTCAGCCTTTCCCTCAGTCCCTCACCCAAAACTCCAAATGCCAGTAGCACTTTTCTGTGAAATTCAACATCACTTTATTTCTACATATTTCTAAATATGACATTTACTGTTCAATGCCTTCTGTACAGTGTCCAAGTGCTCCCATCTCTGTTAGATCATTCATTCAGCATCTAGTGGTGGTAGCTCTGTGCTGGGCACTATACTAGAAGCTAAAGCTAGAACTTGCCTTTTTGTAACTGGGATATATATTTGCTGCTAAAGCAGCTAAAAAAAGCTCTATATCCTTTGGAACTGTACGTGCATAAAAATGTTTGCTTACCTCCACCAATTTGGAAGCTAAATACATGGAAATTGTTGTGCTTTTATAAAACATCATTGATATTCCTGCCAAAAATCCTGGAACAACAAAGAAGGCAAAACTGATCAAAACCTGAATATTTACTGGTTATTAAGTCACTTGGAAATGTTAATTCACTTAAATAGCAAAGAACTGATTTTAGCACTGCCTTTTGTTACAACAAAATCAAGGACAGTAATATACATGATGGCATTAAAGTAGGATGAATTCTAATTCATTATCACATATTTTTAAATTAAAAAAAATTGACTTTCAGAGTTAGGAACCACAGTTCTGATAAACATATTACAGGAAATTTTACATTCTAAATTTAACTTTATAAACAGCAGTGGTCTTGCCAAATGTAATGATTTTTTAAAAATATTTTTAAAAAGCTACTGGTATCATTTCTGTTTTAAGTGGAAATGTTTACTCCTTGATTCTCCTAACAGCTCAGGTTACGTCTGGTGCTGCCATCACACTTCTCTCCATAGCACTGTCTTCATTTTACAAATGGAAAACCGAGGTGGCAGGAGGCCTGGAATTCACTAATAGTAGGGATATTACTAAGAAATATCTGAAAAATTGCCTGTTTAATTTAAGTAATACATATAGTGAACTTACAGAAAATGTTCTTTAGTTTTTATTTTTATAAAATTTAAGTTCCTAAAAATTATTAAAATATATGTCACTTGCTAGTGGTCAAATCAGAGTATTTTAAGAAATCTAATTTCACTTCCATTAGTCAATTAAATATTTTGTCTTTATGTTCTTCTGCGACACACTGCCTAGAATTTCTAGTCGATAGCAGGGCAGATACCCAAGTCATTATATTGCCAACTCAGAACACCAGATGGCAACAGCGCCCTGCCTGATACGTGAAACTTCACAAGTACAAAATGTTTCAACTAATGCCTCAGCAGGGATTCTATGACAGAG